TCTTACTTTATTTATCAATAAAGACCCCTCCGGGCCATCGTCGCCATTTCCCGGAGTGGAGTAGGTTATTTGGACCGAACCACTAAATATCTGCGTGTTGATTCAATATTTACATTACTGTCATTGATTGCTTTATTTATTATCCATTAATTACACCTTATCACATACTCGACTGTTGATCTTGCACGAGACAATTTGTGCATCATCAGGTTGTGCATCAGTTCTGTTTAGTTTTTATAGTTCAAGACATGAACTGATCCATGAAAGTGACTAATATCCAGCTCTAACAAAGAAATTCAAGCAGCTAATCAAGCTTAGCAGCCAAACGAGTAAACAAGTTAACTAACTAAAGAGACCAAACCAAAGAAGTAGCCAGAAAAACTGAAATGCAAGAGATAGAATATTATTGGAGAACTTAAATGCAACAAAACCCTTCCGGGCATGCAGCAATGTGCCAGTTATTTGCTTAGGAAATGGAGCTTTGACCATCAATTTGAATTAAAAATTTACAACCACCCAAGTAAAATGCCTGAAAGAACAATCTAAAGAAAAGCAGAATATCAGAGGTTTCAGCCCATAAGAGAGCACCCATATAAAAAAATGTCATGTATACATACCCTTCCTTCAATAAAATCCTGAGTCCCTATATTGACTACTGTACAGCCAATCGCCTTGGCAGAGTTGAGGCATAGAGTATGATTCTCATTCCTTTCCCAGGGGTTGAGTACTCTCTTGGTGTTGATTGCCCGTTCATCAATTGTCCCCGGGACCGCTACATTTATAAGCTTACTGCATCCAACATTATGCTTCTAATTAGTTGGACTAAAGAACATTATCCAATAATCTTAATTTTAATTGCTAGAAAGTGAAAAAAAAATAATCAAGGTTGAGAGAGAGAAAGAGAGAGAGAGTATTAAACAACATAGTTCGACAGAATAAGCACAACTAGTGATGATCACCAGATAAGAACTCCATCCTTCGCAATTTCAAAGAGATCATTGGTTGAAGGATCTATAGGAAGGTATTTTTTTAAGAATTCATCTTCTCCAAGGTAATTATTGATATGCGCAACATAGGACGACTTTTCAGATTCACTGATTGTGTGAAGCAGTGTAGAAGTAGGAGATTTGAGGAATGCTGATGAGTTTTTTGCACCACTTCCCATTCTGGAATTCGTATGTGCTTGCAATTTCAAATACACCTGCCAATAAATTACCAAAAATCGCATACTAATCAGCCAAAAATTCAAAAGGAATGGGAACCAGAAAAGAAATTGGAAAGTAGAACAAGGGGATTGAGAAATAATTCCCAAAAAATGGAACATTTAAATCCGGAATTTTCAAAACAATCAGTCCCTGTTCGATTGCTAGAAAACCATCGTAAAAGAGAAGAAAAGAGAAGAGAGAGGAAATGAAACTCATGAGTCTGATGCTTTTTGTTACTCTGATTTTTCCAAACGGAAAATAGCTCAACTGGACTGAACAAGAACGTTCTGATTTTGTTGGTAGTCCCAAACATACATTGGAAAGACAACCTAGATTTGATTTTTAATTTATTTTCTTCTCCTACAATTTCCCGGCAGCCAAACGGATGATTAAACACTATAATAACTATATTCCTCTGACTCCTTTCTATCTACATGAATATACATGTATAAACGCGCATACGGATTCACCTGAAGAAAGAGTTCAAAATCGACATCATCGTCCAAGTTCTGATACAAATCTTGAAGAAAAGAAGCTCTCTCTTGTTCCGTGAGATTCTCCCCGACGTGTTTCAGCCTCGACATTGTCGACGGCAAGTCCGCGAGTATCAGACCACCTTTCTCTCTCCTTATTGTCACGAACTGCAAAAACCGATCATATAACACATCAAAACGCAATCAATCAACACATGAGAGACTCTAAGTATATATAGGAAGATTTGAATTTTTGAGCTTGACAGAAAGAGACTTACGTGAGATTTCAAGCTTCGAAGCTCCACCTGAGTGAACTGATTCTGAAGCCATGGATCTGACACAAACACTCCAACGTAACCAGCCATTATTGAATTTGAATCTGCTTCTAACAAGAAAATTTGAATGACTCTCTCTCTCTCTCTCAATCTAAACTTGAAACTATTCCAGAGAAAGAAACTCAAAAAAAGTGCTTTCTCTCTCTACCTCTTCTAACAGATTTCTCTCTCTATCAGTGAAGTAGGGAGAGAGAGGCCTAACACTGGGGACGGAGCGGAGCTGTCAGTGTTCAAAGTCGGTTTGAGAATTCAAAATATGACGATACTGTCCCTATTGTTAACGAACTACTATGAATTGATTAATTAAAGCTAACCCCACTTTTTTGAATTAGTTAACTTTGTTTAAAGTGAATGATCTAGTGTAACGACTTCCCACTGTTTTTACCCAACGCCTTAGCCATCATTACATTTGTTTAAACTTTAATTAACGTTTTAATCTTATTATAAAAAAAGGGAAATTATGGCATCAAGGTTTAGGTCACCCTTTTCAATCAATGGGACCTTCATTTCCATTTTCAATCAATGGGACCTTCATTTTTTTACCCAATATAATTCGATGATCAGTTTTTAAGGTTTATACACACTCCGGGATCAAAATTTTGTTTTTGTATATTATTTTGAACACCTAAGAAATGAAAATGTTTTGATATATTTCGAAAATGTTTTGATGTATTTCGAAAATATTTTGATCTGTTTCGAAAATACAATAAAAAAATAAGAGAATTATTTTTCTAAAATATTGGTCAAAATATCTTGAAACCTTCTGATATGAAACATCTCGTAAAATTTAAATTTCATCACTAATATGTTTCGCTCTCCTTGAAAACATAAACGTTTTAGACGTATTGACTGTTTCGAAACAAAATTTTGAACTTCGACTGCAATTGCATCCAAATTTATTCACTCATTCTTGATCGACTATAATTATTAGAGAGTTTTTTACACACCGCCATTCATGTCCTATATTTAATTGAACTTGGAATAACTCATATCTAAAGGCATAGTATAACGTGAATAGTTTTGAAATGGATGTTAGTAATCATTGGATGAGTCTATCTGAAACTGTCAGATATGCTTATTGAAACATGTCTTATTTTATATTATAGATTGTTAAAATTAGTTAAAAAAATCTTTGATCTTACATAGCCGTTGTGTTAAAAAAAATGTATACATTTAGCAACCCCTGTAAGTATAATATGGAGTGCTAATGGGCCCTATCCGAAAAAGAAACTTATAATTCTAAGGTTACTTCAAGCGGTAATAAAGACGAGTTACGTTTTAGAGTCAAGTAGTTATGATTTTGTCTTTTATGAATATTCTATTTTTGGCGTCGATTGTCTGCTTTTGATCAAATCAATGAAAGAATTAGTTGAGGTGTTTATAAACTAATTCAGACATTTCTGATAGTTGTAACAAAAAAAAAAAAAAAACTTATGAATCACACTACACAAAACGTTCTTATTTATGAGCTGAGTGTCCCCCGGTCAATCACTTTGAAATGTGAATAAGCGTCGTTTTGGTTTGTTACAGCAGGGGGACAATCTGGCAATTTTGAAATAGAGGGGACCACACATAAAAGAAAGATGGGTCACTTTTGAAAAAAGTTGAATGGATAGGCTAACGGCTCTTTTTGAGTCTTGACGATAACTAGAGCTTGAATCACGAAAGGACATAAACCTAGTCCCCCAGAAAAAACATTATTATTTCAAATTAGAGGGAATCTCATTTTGTACCCCCAAACAATATAAGCCTTTTTTACTTTATACCCCCAAATATAATATTTCTTCCATTAAACTCTTAATGTCTTAAAAATATTATAATATAACCCTTCTATTATATTTTATTACTTATTTCGTCAAAACTCACCTCATTGACGTTAACAGAATTAGTAACTTAAACTAATAATATAGTCAATTTAAAACAATTTTAATACATTTAAGAGTATAATATAAAAAATCTAATATTTAAGGATACAAAATAAAAATTCTCAAATTATGACCTACGCATTTGAACCGAACGGATAACCCGTGAGCAAGAGCAAGAGCAAGAGCAAGAGCAAGTGCTCGGCTCCTCTTGTTTGGGCCTGGGATATAAAACCCGCATCCAATGAGTTTTCTGCCATTATTGCCTTGAAGGCAGAGTCTAATTAACGAACAACAACATATAATCTTGAATTTTTCTTACGATAATCCTATGTGCACTAAATTTGTGTATTAAATTAACTGCAATCGTTAGATCAGTAATGAAACTCATTGATCTAAAGACTACAAGTGATTTAGTACAAATTTTAGTGCATATTTTTTTATGAATATAGCATTGCTCTTTTTTTTTTTTTTTTATGGATAAAATTGTGCTGCTTTAATTTGTTTATCAAATCTTGTATCTCAAATAATGTGTCAAATTTTTATATATTGAATATTTGATGAAATTAGTGGACCCCACTGATCCAACCACTCACATTAATTTGGGATATAAAATTTGGTAAGTATAACATTATTTTTTTTTATTCACATTTGAAAATCCAATTATCAGTTTAAGGAGGATTATGTCAAAAATAACTTAATCTATGTATAATTACGATTATTAATTCTTAACATAATCCGTCAACTTGAGTAACCCAAAATTGATTTGGCCTTAAGAAGTTCAAATTATAATCAAGTTTACCTACAAAACTTGTGAATTAATATGAACTCAATTATATACGACAATCAACTATATATAATTTTCTACATGACAAAAATATGAAATATATATCATTTCTGTTTTGTTTTGTAATACACTAAGACATGTTTGCTTCAAGCTTTAGACTGGTATAAGGCTCTGGATAAGGTAAAAATAATAGTCTTGAACCCTTTTAATACTTTGTAGGCTCGTTTGGTTTGGTTGTCATATTAGAAATTAATGAATTAGATAAAAGAATTAAATATAATATAATACAGATTAAAAAAAATAAGATTAAATGAGATATTAGATTAATACGTAATTTTATCTAATATTTGACAATACACAACATAAACGTTGGATATTAGTTATTTAGTCCAAACAATTGTTTGTTTAGAAAATTATTTCATTGTATTAATGTTGAATTAACAAAAATATCCTCAATCAGTGTTTGTTACATTGATTACGGCTTGATTTTCTTAGTTGTGGAGTTATAATAGTAAATGTGTGTAACAATACATTTAAGTTTGATTATAATATCCCTTCTCTTGGTGGTATTAAAATACATTCATAATTCAGGTTTATGGATATAAAAAACATATGATAAGTATACGTTTTTGAAATTAAGACGACATCAAATTGATCTACTAAACAAAATATTAGACTTGATTAAATAAATAATATTACAATCTAATATTCAACTCACTAATAATATGTCTATCAAACAAGCCCTGTTTGTTTTATTTTTATGACTTGATTATAATGAGGTAGTTAAATTATTGGGTCTATTGTGTGTCTTGTATTCCACTCATAATAGAAAACTAGTTTGGACTTTGTTCTCCTTAAGAATTTGGAAAGATGGTTGTATTGGAATTCCAAGTTTAGTTTTATTCTCTCGATTAAAGAATTTTGTGTAATCTCCTTTTGTTAGTAGTAAAACTTTGCTGCTGCATTTTACCCATGGAGGAAGCTTTTAAGTTGATCCACGTAAATTTATATTCTATTTTTCTATTTCGTTATGTTTTATTTTACTTGTGATTTTTATTCATAACTGAGTCTATAATGAATAGTTGCTCAAATCCCATCTTAGATGTGGTGCTATTTAATACTACATTGTATGTAGTATAAAAATCTTGTAGGTGATATAAGTTCACTCAAAAACTAAAATGTAATTCTCAAACCTTTGTCATGTATAAGTAAAAAAGCATCCTTGTAAATGACCAAATAAAGAGACTATTAATGCACTTCTTTGTTGTGGATCCCACAAACCTACAAATCATCTAAATTCCAAGTTTGCATTGTAAATCTAAAATGTACATAATCACCTGTAAATCAGTGCATTATTCAAAATTCTATCTAACTTAAGACCTTCTTCATACTTGCATTTTTGCTCCTTGTTTGAGCAGTGGAGGAGCCAGTGGTTATCAATAAAGCTTATGACATATTGTTCCACTTATTGAAGTGGGTACTGATAGTACAACAACACTTTCACATGTGCACTTTTTCCATGTACAGCTGTGAGGCATTACGCCAAAATAAGCACCTCACGTGGGCAATACCTTTGTTTATTTTGTGGACAACGCCAAAGATCTACACGACAAGAAAATGGGCAACAATATTGGTTGGGCACTGATATGGTGTCTCGTACTATGTGAAACCCAAGTCTGTTGCTGGAGATGAAAGTTTACATATACTAATTATTATACATATCTTCCCCAATTATCTACATAGCTTGACACACACACACGTTTATTTGCTTTGTTGGAAAAAAAGAAGGGAAGTTGAGGGTAATTTTTGTTAGGGTTTGGCCACGATACTGAAAATGATTATTTACTGTACCATCAAACTCTTTTTTGGGTTGAAATTAAGAGTTTTTTTTTGGATAGAATTTACCAACTTTTTAATTTGATTATTAATTTATCTCCTTTTTGGGTAGTTTATTACTTTTTGATTTTAATTACCATTTTTTTAGAAAAAAATTATTACATTTTAGGGTATACTTTAGCTCCCTATAACATCGCCAATTTTGAATCCTCATCCAGCTTTATTATGAGTGATACGCCCATGCCAAACATATTAGCCCCGTAATAAGAATTGTGTTGTAGTTTATCCGTAGAAATCTCTAAGGACCAGGTCGCATAGTCCCCTAAGTTGGGTCCCTTGCTTCTCCAAACATTAACTATGTCAATGTTGTTCTGCTCCTGGTTTAATAGATATTTTTGTCATGTGATGTTTTCGTTCTCTTATGGGCTCACCCTTTGGGTTCAATTTATCACTTCGGTATGATACCAAAAATTGAAAGAGAGGTAAGTTTAGCGTTATCCCTGATTCTAACTCCCTGTCTCCAAACCCAAACATTTGCTGATTCCAATTCTCTTTTTTCTTTTATACGTGTGTGTGTGTGTGTTTTTTTTTTGTTTGGTGGGGGGAGGTTGTGTATAAAGATATGTAAATTATTGGGGAATAAATAGAAGTCTTTGGTGTGTTCACATCATCAAAATCATTACCATGATCTTCAGAAGGGTATTATTTCTGGTGGGGAACATCACGTTAGCGGACAAGTAGGCCAAGCCCACACATGGTCTTGCAAGCAACTCCACTCCTGTGATTTGATACTCAGTATCAAACATCATCATTGTTACTGATTGGACATTCCTTAAAGTATGACTCAGACTCATTTGGGTTTCATATGCTTTATCATTGAAAGGTAATGGCAAATTCAATCAAACTACAACATAGGTACAATAATAATTTTATGTTGTCTGTCCTTTTTTTTTTTTTTCCTTTTTTGGTGCAATCAGTGAAAAAAAAATAAAACAAAGCAACAGGACCGTCCCCAGAGTATCAAATCCAGTTTTCAAATCATATACCATAATGTTTTAAAGTTTGTTTAATCAAATATTCAATCCACTTAATCGTAGATCACAGCAGTAATCGTATCATAAGCCAGTTAGAGTAGTCTACCCAACCCACTTACTAAATTAGCTTAACAAGTCATCCTTTTTATGACCCAAACCTATCAACGCTAAAATCATCAAGTCAGGAATGACGGGATGATTAAGAACAGTTATTGCTACTCATACTCCCACTTCCTGCTCCTAACAACAAAAACTAATAATTCATAACTTATTCTGAACCTTTTTTTTTGCTTGCTTGCTAATTTCGTGTCACTTTATATTGTGTTTAGTACGGTAGATAAAAAAATAGAAATGATACACTTTCTATCTTCCTTCTTTCCTTCCCTCCCTCCCCCAAGGGATTGAAGGTTAAAAAAAATAATTTTTTTTTTTTTTTTGTGTTTGGTAGGATGAAAAAAATATAAATACATATTTTATCATTTCAACACATATAATTCACTTTTCATCCCAATTTTAAAAGAATTGATTTTAATAAATCAAAAAGAAAACTCATACATCCATTTTTCTATCTTTTTTTTTCTTTCTTACCAAACATAACATTTATCTATCCCTCTAACTTTTCTTCCACATATTTTATCATTTCAACCTACATAATTAACTTTTCATCCATTTTTCCTCTCAAATTTAGAGGAATTAATTTTATTGAGTTAGAAGAAAAATTCAATTATCCAAATTTTTATCCTTCCTACTTTCCTTCTTTATCAGAAGAAAAATTCAATTATCCAAATTTTTATCCTTCCTACTTTCCTTCTTTATCAAACATGATATTTTATTTATCTCTCATTCTTTCCTTCTTTCTAACTTTTCATTCTTATATTTTTCCATCGTACTAAACGAAGCATTAGTGTTGGTTTGGCAAATTGTGTAAAAAATTGTCTGTCCAATCTAAAAAAAAATTGGTGTGGAACACGACACTTCAACCATCCCATGTACTTATTAAGTTATAATCCTAGAGTAAGATCAGACAACAGCTTTTGAGGAAGAGTTGTTGCGGACATATTAGTTTTGAAGGTTTGCTGCAAGAACACCCACTGTCTGAAATGAAAGTTGGGTATGCTTTTGATATTGAAATTACAATATACCTGACCGGCGTCACTTCCTTAATGCTCTACCAGATTTATATTTTTCAAAAATGGTCATTCACACGGAGTCGGTCCATCTAAATGATGATAGCCAAAAAAAATGGTAACACAACATACCAGAGCAGCCGGAGCAACTAGAATGCCATTTCTTGAAGAATTTGAAGTGTATTTTGATGAACCTGTATGCAAGATTAAGGATTTATCAAGGTTAGTACATTTTTGGCATAGTAAGTTTTCATCCTTTAGAGCATGATGCCTAGATATTAGTACAGCCAACAAGTCCACTTGCACACTTTGATCAGAAAATGACTTTAAAATGTTGAAGGAAAGATTAGAAGTATTAGTACAGATTGTTCAGCTAATTAATTAAGCCAATGAGCTGAAAAATGCATAATGCAGAATTTTTAAAAATAAAGCAAATCGAAATTGTATGATGAGTAAATAACTTACTTCTGCATAAACCATCACAAAAATACACTATCTCGGGTCTTTATGAAGAGTATATCTTCCGGAAAGAATCATAAGTTGTCTTTCTGACTCCAAAATCTAACATGTCATGTCATGTGTGTGTGCGTGTGTGTGTGTGTGTGTGCGCGCGCGCGCGAGAGAGAGAGAGAGAGCATTTAGAGGCAGAAAAAAAGATACCCATTCTAGATGCTGTGCTGTGATGCCAGGGACGTCTCCTGCATATATGCCACCTAACACCTAACAGCTCCAAACAAGAGGCAGATCAGTGGGAATGAAAATTTTTCACTTTTGTTATAAGAGATCTGTCAAATAAATGTGTAATTATTCAGGGCCTCATAGAAGTTTCACCGCAAAGACAAATAACTGAAGAGAAGCAGGTCAAAGCCAATGTGAGCTTAAAGACCTTTTAAAGAAGGGATCATTGCGTAAAATTTAATGAATTCGGTGTCTTCTGATATTATTGGCCAATTCATTCTTTACACATGCTTAACTTCATTGGAATTGAAACAGCCTGTCTCTAATCTATGGTCTGTCTTATTAGAGACCACAACCATAAATAGAAGTGACAAGTACCTTGGACACAGTCTCGAGGAACATGCCAGGGCGGACTGGTAGTGGTTTACGCCCTGTGACGCTAGCCTGGGGATCATGATAAGAGAGTCAAACACAAGCATCACCCAGCTACTGTAATTGAAATGACCATGATACTATAGCATAACAAAACCTCACCCTTCCAGCAATTCCACTTGGCTTCCTTTCTCCAGTGGTACTTTCCTCATCACTGCTAGAGTTGTCTGCACCTTCATCTTTTCCTTGCATTACATTTGTTATCATCTCCCGCACAGTTTTCCCTGGCCTCAGAGCAACAAGTTTAGTTAAGAAGTTGACCTGCACTCACAACACATCAATTTTATAGACAAATAATAGTTAAAAATTGCAAATATGAAACAATTTGACATGGAATTCTTTAATATGTACTGTTATATATCTTTGAAAAAAAACTCAAGTCGAGGCCAATATTATTGGTCAGCTGTGAGCTGACTACCTCATAATATGATTCAAACTACCAAATATTCAGAAATTACAGACCTCTGATTGAGGGAGTGTATTCAAACCACGATCATTTCTCTCATCAAGTATTCCACCTCCCATCATATTACGAGCTTCTTCTCTGATCAAAACAAGCCTCGCAAGTAGTTTCCGATCAGGAACAACAGGCCGGGATTCCATCGTCTGCAAAAGCTATGTTCAGTATAGGAAGAAACCAGACCAAAGTATTGACAGATTTGAATTTATATGAATTGTCTGTGGTAATCTTGAATAAATCTCTCTAAATTAGAACCTCGGTTTTATCTTCATTACGTGAAACTTTATAAATGCCTAAAATATCAATTACTTTAGTATATAAACCATTCCTATTGTGTTCTTTTGTCAGATGGTGCTCCCAAATGAGTGTAATGCTGATACTAAGATCCATACACAAAACTCACTTTATACTGAAAAATAAAACAAGGAACATTAAAAACAATGGATATTTGAAGTGTCAAGTGTTCCTTTTTTAAGGGGTCAAATAAATATGAATCTCAAAGCATACACTGATACCAGAAAAGTCCCTAATTCTTTTAGTAACAATTTCACTAAGCTCTCACCAAAAAGTTGCAATCAGTCAATTATAATTTCTATAAAAATCAATTTATAACCAAATAACAAAATGGAAACATGAGATACAAAATTACTTTTTCCCTGGGTCCCATGGCCCCCAGGTTAGGGGGAGTTAGGATTTGTTTGTATGATTCTCAATGGCATCATTCCATCCAGGATGCATACACCCTTTCAACACAAGCATAGACAGCAGTTGGATTCTCAATAATCTTCCTACAGCGCAAAACGTATCTTGTTTGGGACTTTCGCAGAAATTTGTGCCCTCTCTTGATAATGGGAATTTGTTAGCCTTGAAACATAGTAGACAACTAACTAAATTTAGCCATTTATTTAATGCCCATACAATTGACTCCACAAGCTTAATTTATGCTTAGGAAGTTGTAAAGCAATGAGGGCAGGCGTTTAAGCGACCACCTCGACTAGATCATCAGCCTGGTTCGCTATATCATTTAAATTTGCCCCTGGAAGATGAACTTTTGTGCCATTCTCACTTTTAAATACACCACCGCCTGCAACTACTCGCCTAAGTAATTCATGTCTGCTTTCTTTCTGGGGAGTTCTACAGAGCAGGCCAATCACTTGAACCTAGACAAATATACAGCAGAAAACAATCACATTCAAAACAAGGTAAAGGTTGAAACTACTTGGCAAAAGCTAGTGTGACATATTTGCGTAGAGAAGCATCCTCACATGAGAGGGACATTTCTTTGTAAGATGGGATAATACAGTCTCCTTGACCACCTCCAAGAGTGACTTGCGCTGACAGGAACAATTAGCATAACGTTAATATATAGTTAAAGCCACAATAATGTTTCTGCAAAAAATAAATAAATAAAACCTCTGACAGAAGCAATATCTGAGGAGTGAGGATAAGAGCAAAACATGACTAATACAAAGACAATAATCTTCATACAAAATTAAGTCAATGACAAAGTGTCACCAACTTGGTGGAAGTGAAACATGAAGTCATGAATAGCACCCATCTCATCATGGTATACAGATAAACTTTCCCTCAATATGATGCCGCAATGAGAATGAATATGCCCAGCTGCATAATGTTGTCTTTGACCGCCAAAACTTAAACCAAATAGTTCAATTACTATTTATATTAGTCATTTCACTGTTACACACTACCAGTACTTATTTCTCTTCACTTTTTTCTTTCATCATAAGAACTAGATGATTTTCAAACTTTAGTAAGTCGCTTATTCAAAGTATGCTAAAAAGATACAATAAAGAGGACGAGTGAATGTACATTCAGTGTTGAGCCTCAGCTAGTTTTGCAACCACCACCAGTAGCCTTCTTTGAAGGTATTGGTTAAATTTAAAATGCTCCAATAAGTAATGTGGTATTGAAAGGGTGCGTTTGGATAGCCATGGGTGGATTGGATTTGAATCCGAATCCAATCCAACCAAACCCAATGTAGTCCGGTTTGATTAAATCCTAATGAAAAGTATCCCATCCTATCCCATCTTTGGATGGGAACTTTTGTGGGCCCCATTCACATGTGAAGAAGAAAGATAGTGAAATGACCATTGCATCCATTGTAAATAAATCTAATCCAATCCAATACCAACTTTGGATTGAAATGATGTCAATCCAATCCAACCAGATTACGTTAGTTTTGAACAACATGTTGATTTAATAAATTGCGGTTTTTAACAACACAGCCGAAAATTGTTTATAATTTTTTTAATTGAATTTTGTACAACACACAATTCATCTCAAAATCATATGCATCGCGCATCAAAAGTAAATGTACAACACAAACGCATAGTTGTAATTTGAAAATATTACTTATAGATCAAAAAAAAAAACATAATGATAGACAATCACATATTATACATGTTACACACACCGCCTACAAATTGCATGTTTATCAATGGATCTTTGGATCTTTGGTCCAACGGTACTCTTTATCTTATAAAAACTTTACCTTCTTGAGGTTAAGGGTTCAAATTTTCCTCCCCCTTCTCCTTCCAAAAAATAAAAAAACAAAAAAAGACAATATGATTAAGATTTTTAATATGACCTAAATACATATATATGCCTTGTACAACGAGCATACAAAATACTGGCAACAAAGAAGGTGATTAAACATCTGTTTATTCCACAAGTGTAGTTACATATATACCAAAATGACTTGTGGATATTACCATACTTAGTGGATACCGTAACGAGTAAGGGATAACTGCAAGAAATCAATCGTCAATGATTATGACATCGACTTTTGAGCCAGAGTTAACTGATGGACACGATCCTACGCTTTTTGAAGGTTGGGTGCTTGATGAAGGAACATTATTTTTTAAAATAGCTTCGAAAAATTAGTAGTTGGGATAAGGGATCTAGTCAAAACACTGCAGCAAAATCTACTTCCCACCTGATGTAGTAAATAACAATATATAAATAAAATGTTTGATAGTCAAATGAAACAAAAAAAGGTATGTACTTTCGACTGAATTTAATGAACTACACTTACTTTCAAATATTCTTCTGAGCAACCTTTTATCATACATTTGGTTCAATTGTCCCATGCAAATTTACTTGTCTCCAACATTTCAGCAATGGTGAAATATAGACGTTCCTAAAAAAATATTATCCTTAACAGCTTAGTAAATGCTGGCTAAATTGTGGCATACGCCTATGTAGTACATCTAACATTCAATCAATCGTCTTCTTGTCAAACCTCCCGTAAGGAGGTAACAAGTTACGATTTTTGTACTCAATCAAAGTGTCAATTAGAATTTATGTTTCATCATCACTGATGTTTGGTATCTTCATGCCTAAATAACAATTTCACATTAGCTTTTTGTACTCAATCAAAGTGTCAATTAGAATTTATGTTTCATCATCACTGATGTTTGGTATCTTCATGCCTAAATAACAATTTCACATTAGCTACCAAATACAAACATTAGATTTATCAGTCAATGTATTGCTGAAGATGCTAAAGTAAAACAAACATATGTAATTTCAATTCAGCATTACAAATCAACTACATACCAACATACTTGTTTTCTCATTTCAAACTGGTGACTAGAAATGGCACAAGTGCATAGGTAACATAAGCATAGCATTACAAAAAACCCAACACTCATCCAACTCTACTGAACAAGTAGTACACAACATGGGTGAGTATTACACCAACCCAAAATCAATATCATTACACTTATCAGATCTCGTTGATATCCATAACCTTGCACGACGACTGGGGGTGGTGCAGTATCTTCCACTGCACGTTCTTTATTAATATTGTGTAACGTTGCATTCTCCTCTACTGCAAGTTCATCACAAATTGCACCAACTGTTTCCGCTCCCATCCTCCTAAGGTGAATGCGTAACGCACTGTCAGCCTCATTATAGGAATCCTATGACTTGTACAACACACCAAAAAACCTATTAACATGTAAATGACACTCCTCTCATGAACCATAAATTCTTACATGTCGTCCAACAAATACAACATACCACCGTTCGAGCCTATGCATTGCTAATGACATAGTAACATTGCTTGTTAATACCAAAAGAAAAAACATAATATACGAAGTAGTCTAGAAATGTCATATTACACAATCAAGAATTGCAAGTGAATGAGCATACATATCATTAAATTTGTGTCCAAAGAATGCTTACATCTAAAATATAATTGTGCATGCTCCAGTCATGCACAATTGATATCCAAAAAAAAATAAGCATAACCATCTCATGGGTTTGTCACCTAAATGTGTCTTTACAAAATAATTATACTACGCAACACAAGTTTAACACACAATCTTAGGAGAGCGTTTTCAGTTGTATGTCACGTGATACATCGATATCTCGATCACAAACGTGGTATGTTTCACAAAATTCCTTCAACCCAAGTAGGACGCTTGTACTCAAGCAAGTTGAAGAAGATATCAACATTGACAAGGTAAAAACAAATAAGCTTAAGTGCAACATGTCGGTCTAGCATTGATAGATCATTTATCTTCTCTAGTTCAATGTTGACTTTCCTTCGTACATCAGCGGCATCATGATTATACCCAACACGATATGCTATCATATCTAGTTGATTACGACAATCATGCACGTACTCACTAAACACCTTCGAGATGTTAGCCAAACTCTTAGCAACCGACTTGAACATTGTACCACTCACCTTTTTTTTTTTTTCTTACTTGTTAATGGAGTTCCAACATTAGGTTCACCACCAACAATTTGTGCAATTGGATTTGTCGTGCTATGTGAGACAGGGACATCATTGCCAAAATGATCCGGTCTAGCCATGTTATCGACTTTTCACATTGAAACTTCCACCTCAACAGAACCAATCATGTCTTCCAAATCTACAGCATACTCACCTATGACACGGTCCTTAACAAAGATGTAATTTACGTAAAATACCCTCCACATTCAGGGGTCAAAGATACCATATGCAATAATTTGGGGCCGGTGCCACAGCTCCACGTAATGCCAAAGAATTGTTCAACTTCTGGCATTTATCTGCAAGAACATGCATAGAGAGATGTTTTGTCTTATTGAAAAATAGATGGGTGATACTTAAGGCACCGTGCTGCTATCCGGTCCGCAAGCATAATTACATCATATCTGCGTGTTGTTTGTTGCATAACTTAATCAGGAATGAAATGAGTGTAGACCAATAGAGGAGGACTTGCGCGAGGTAATACATGCTGAGGGTGACGATGTGAATGATGTGATAAACACTGTCGAGACATTGTTGAATGGTCTTTCTTTCGCAATCAGTTAGCCTTTGATATGTACAACGAGTGGAGAATATCCCGAAGACAAGCAAATAATTAAGTAAACTATTAAAATGACATTTTGAGTTAATGGTTTACATGACACTTTGGTTTGAATATATTATGAGACGTTTTATTTTTTGCGCACAACTTCTTCAATTTGATGTCTGCATGTCTTTGTTGAGTGGATATTTATTCTTATTTATATAGTTTGTCAAATATTGTGCTTACCATTTTTTACGTGAGGTATAATATGTTCGAGGTAGGTCAAATTACTCAATCAGAGAGGGGTATAAGAAGAACATGGACCACAGCTGAAGAGATTTAGCTCATCTCTTCCTTAAAGGACCCTTGCGTGAATGGTTGGAAGTGCCAAAATGGCAATTTCAGACCAGGATATCTTCAAGCATTGGAACAAAGTTTGCGAATAGAAATACCTGGTTGTGAATTGCGGGCGTCCTCACACATTGAATCAAAACTGAAGATTTGTGAAAAAAACTATAACTCATTATTCACCATAATGGCCACGTCCGAATTTGGTTTCAATTCAACTGAGAATAAGATTTGTAATATCTACAAGTCATTTTGCTATATATGTAACCACACTTGTGGAACAAATGGATTGTCTATCATTATGTTTTTTTTTTTTTTGTCTATAAGTAGTATTTTCGGATTACAATTATGCGTTTGTGTTGTACATTTACTTTTAATGCGCGATGCATATGATTTTGTGATATTGTGTGTTGTACAAAATTCAATTAAAAAAATTCGGCTTTATGTTGTTAAAAACCGCAATTTATTAAATCAAAATTTTGTTCAAAACTAACGTAATCTGGTTGAATTGGATTGGCATTATTCTAATCCAAAGTTGGTATAGGATTGGATTAGATTTATTTACCAAGGGCGCAATAGTCATTTCACTATCTTTCATCTTCACGTGTGAATGGAGCCCACAAAACAAATGGTTTTCATCCAAAGATGGGATAGGATGAGATACTTTTCATTAGGATTTAATCAAACCGGACTACTTTGCATTGGGTTGGATTAGATTCAAATTCAAATCCAATCCAACCCAATCCACCCATGGCGATCCAAACGCCCCCTATGTGCATTGTATACATCCTTGAAATGCCATTTGGGATAGAACTTAAAGATATTATGGCATATTAAAGATTGAATCTTTTTATAAGTTAAAAGAGCCCAATGTGCACAATATTATTGCATTCTCAGTTGTACATCGAAATTTCTATGATGACATAAAAGTAAAAGTACAAATCCAGCAACATTAACTATAGCAACCACCATTATCATGGCTGATACCAGCAACGAAGTACTGAACCTACCGCTAAACTCAAACAAATAATCATTTCCAACGAAACACGAACATAGAAACAACAGAAGAGCAACATAAAGAGCAGCAAAATAGTAATGAAAAAATAGTAGTGATAAATTAATAAAGATGATGACCTAGTTTAGACAATTAATGAAGTTGCACAAAAACATTAAGCCAAGAACAAATTGATAGCCCAAAAGAAGGAAATTGGAAATAAGAGGTTGAAAGCATTACCTTATGATCCTGGTCCTTTTCAGCAAGCTGGATCATGTAATCTAGGGCCATCATGAATCCTGACTCCATCTGATCAACTCTCTTCCCAATCACTCCTTGTGCAGCTAACTGCACAGCCACCTCCTCAGATGCTTCATCCATGTTCATATCTTCCAACTACGCTAACATATTAATGACTATCAAAAAATGGCTAAAAAAATTAAGTGGACTTTAGTCCGTACAAACAACTTACAAAAAACTGAATAGTAAGAGCAGCCCAGTGCATGACATTCTCGCCTTTGCAGGGTTTTCAGCAGATCGGACATAAGCAGCCTTGTCCAATTGTAATGTTACTTAAAAATCCAGTAGACTCAGATATATAATTTGACATGCAATGGCAATTCACGAAATTATTTAGTACTTACTCTATATTACAGTTTTTGAGTTGAAGCCTAGAATAGTGAATCTATGAAACTAGGAGCAAGAAAAATTGAACTTGTGAACAATCACCATTGCACATAAGCAGTCTCTGTGAAAATAAAGAGGGCAAAATCAGCTATATTCTCCTTAGAAAACCATCACTGCCAGTCTGAGATGTAAGCTCAAAAAAAGAAAAAAGAAAAAAGAGTTGTGACTGATAGAGTCATTTACATTCTGAAGGGGATAATGGGATATTCAAACCGAAAAGCATGAAAAGCTAGCAAGTTTGGCACACCAGAAAACGAAGATAATGCATATTGAGTCAGTTTATCACAGAGTCATGATGAAATGAGTGCATCTCAAGCTGACAATTAAGTATACATCTGAAACTCTTTTGGTTGTTGGGAGATGCATCCTTGTACTCGGTTTCTTTCTCTCACTTTTCTATTGATTTCCATTTATTCTCTTTGAGAAGAAATCCTCTCAGCTCTCGCCTTTGTCCCAGGTTCACTTCCTTTCCCCTTGACTATTTTCTTGTTTCTCAAAAGAATAGGAGAAAACATACTATGCAACAAAGACAATGTAGAACTATGCATTTAAACTTTGTTCCTTAAGACTCGGACCAAAACCTATCTGCTACTTCAATTTTTCACTAATTGCCACTTTATATAATTGATCAAAGTATATAGGCAGCACCCCTGCAATTACAATATGAAGCAAGTTGAAGGTACAGACAACCTGTTTAAGACTACGATTTTTCTTTCTGCGCTTGTTTATGTAGCCATGAATACTAAGCTATTCAATTCAAATCTCCAAATCCTAAACAAGCAAATCATCTGCTTTAACTAAGTGAAAGTGGATAAAGAGTATTGAATCATTCAGTCAAGAATCTACAAATTGCGAGATAGGCAGATTAGGGTTTAAATAGCCAAAAATTTAAAAAAAAAACAAAAACAAGAAAGATTAGGACTTAGGGTTAGTTTGGCACAAAAAAAAAGACTTACCGAGAAAATATAAAGCATTAAAGAAACAGGAGAATGAACAACTTACAAGCTTGATCATCTCTTCAAGAACAGAGGTGACCTGTTCACCGCCTTTAAAAAGAGCTTCATATTGGGAAGCATCCAACTTTTCGTTGTCTTGTTCTTGCTTCCTCGTAGTTCTATCTTGCATATTCAATTCCTCCGGTGAGAAGCCTCCACCGACCTCATAACTTGCACACAGTGCCAAGAATCTTCGGTTTCTGGGTTGGTTTAGCGACCACTGCTTGTGGTAGTGGTGGTGAGTGGGGAAATAAGAAGATGGTGGTACTGTGAAGAAAAAAAATCGGTGAGAGAGGAGATTGGAATAAGATATGGTGGAAGATAACGGAGATGCCATGGAAGAGCACTCCGAAGGAATGGCTTAGAGGGGGAGCTTACTGTTAAAAAACTGAATAGAGGGAGAGAGGAAATATCAACGGAAACAAATTCTTTTGGGGCGAAGTCTTGGGAGTAAATATTGGATACAACGGTGATATCGTATTATCATTATTGATGATATAATATCACAAATTAATAATAAAATTTTAAATGATAAAAGTGAACTCCATTTAGCCTCACATGACAGAAGAGTAGGGAGTTATTTCTTTATATGACAAGTTAATTATTGATTTTTGTGGAATCAATTTTTTTATTTGTTTTATTATTATTAGCCGGTGATACCACATCACCTTGCAACGTGGTATCACCGTTGTAACGAATATTTTCTCAAGGTTTGGATAGTGTAGGATTTTTTTTATATATATTTTAATTCATCTAATTCAAATTCACTCATTTATTTTAAAATCTTAACCTTGGAATATATCAAATCTTAATTTTTGTTTGAGAAACAAATATGTAATTCAGTGGGCTCCATAAATTACACAAATAATTTTATAGTAGAACATAACTCTATTAATTCCAATACAAACCAATCATATCCTATGTTTGGATTATTCTAATAAAATTATATATTTTTCACGTATACATAAAAAAATAAAATAATAATTTTTTTTAGGAAAGTTAATAATTGATATAAGGGTAGACCATGTATATTAGATTCAAATAATTAAAAACAAAAAGCCAACTCCAATTATGTAATAATGTGTTACTAGCAATCCTACATAGGACCAATCTCAAAGAGGTGGACTAACATACGAGTAATACATAACAGTTACGTATTAAACATACGTAATTGTAATAAATGTTGTCTTACAAAAAAATACAACAAAACATAAGACAACGTGGTGAATATTTGTTAACAATAAGAAGTGAAAATAATGTTGTCTTATATAATACAGAACAAAATGTGGCAAGATTATACTGGCCTAATCAAAGTCAACGTAAATACACCCCAAGAAACATTCGAAATTTTTGTTACATGACAAAAGACGAGATCAATCATCATCAGTAATTACGACATCCAATTCCGTCCTCCTTGAATTTACTGATTGACATGATCCAACACTGCTATCAATGTGTTGTTGGCTTAAGGTTGGTACATCGTTCTTGAAAATAACTGCCAACAATAGAAAGTTTGGACAAGGATCCAAACAATAGTTACAAGCAAAACCTTCATCCTGTAATAAATGGGTCAAGTGAAAATATAGAACCATAAAATTACCAACATGTATGAGTAATAAATCAATTTGTATCGACACGAACATGAAACAAATTTATTGGAGTCACTTACGTGAATGAAATCCAAACCACCAGGCGCTAGGCCTTCAACAACATGCATCCTCTATGTGTCCCAAATAAACATGTCACTGTTTAACATCTCAACAATGCTATTATATTGGCATTCCTATAAAAGGATTATTCTCAACATATCACTCATAGAGAGATGAAACCTAGGCATCCTTCGTTTCATACATTTAAACAGTGCATCAAATAGTTTTTCTAGAATATCTGCCTACTACAGGTAATTTGTTGCGATTCTTAAACTCAACTAATAAGTCAAACATGACATCAACTTTATCCTCAGTCATGTCTGATAGGTTCATTGTTAACTAATACCACAACGAATAAAAAAAAACTATATATTTTCAAGTCATCATTAATAACCATACATACGTAAAAAATAGTCATATGGATAATAAAACAGAAAAGTTCTTAAACAAGTTATAAAGTCATGCAAAAGTCTTCACAAACCTACATATGATCAACATACATACTTCATCCAAATCTACCCAAGAAGAAGTAGATGATATGGGTGACCACCATACCCAAAACCAATACAACAGCATACTTTACACATGTAACGAACTGACAATCGTGGACTGGCGTAGGTGTTTATACATTAATGTCCATTGTATCTTCAGGAAGTTGATTTCCCAATTTTGGTTGATTCGGATGGACCTGGACGGCATTCAAAGGTTGCACCTCTGTTGTACCATCATGTTGTTGAATAAACATGCGCAAAGCATTTTCTGCCTTGGTATTCAAGTCATATGATTTGTACAATGCACCAAGGTATGCATTAACCTGCATATGACACTCCGTCAATGTCCTATAAACACCAACCTATTGTCCAACAAAGACAGCATAAAAGCGTATTCGCATTCTCATTACAAAGTTAACTGAAAATAAATTTGTCATGTGGTCATAATAAGTGAACAACATAGAAGCAAAACATTAAAGAAAAATATCTAATTAATAAGTCAAACATCCAAAACGTCCACATCATATATAAGTTGCCAAAGGAAATGTGACACATGGGTCAACCAAAATTTAGGTCAAAAGCAAGGCACGAATAACTTTATATACGACCTTGATAAACATCTAAATCAGGTCACAGTATGCTACCAACCCAAAGTGCTCGCCCTTCCATGGGCAAGCTAAAGAAAATTTCAACTTTTATGTTGTCTAAAGCAATTTTATATGCTGCCTCGTGGCGGTGTGCCATTGTCAGGCCATCTAGTTTTGGCAAACTCTGCTAGGATGGCACATCTACTTGTAGATGCATCTTGCTCGTACCCTACTCTCTATGCAATGCTTGCTAGCTAGTTCTCGCTTGAAGCAACTTAATCACCAAATACCTTACATATCTGGGAAAGACTTGTAGCCATGGAATCGCTTAGATCACTAGCTTTTCTTTTCTTTTTTTGTCTTACGTGTCTGTGGGGTGACATTCACATCTTCTCTGCCCTGAGTTACATTTTGAGAGTGGCTAACATCATCCGTTCCCCAATTGGATGAAACTGTACACTGGCATCCTCAGGGACATTCCCAGTAGTTGAATTGTCCATGCATCCCCTTCGCATTCTTGTCTTTCTACATTGTTAATAGAAAAATTACTAGGTCATAATATAAACAAGTAATCTTGGTTTATTATTTTTAATAGATGCATGGGATTAGTAAAACTTTCAGGTATTCCACCTAGATATCTTCACCATACAGATCCACTTTCTTGTCGCGATCATTCTATCCAAAATCAGATGTGCTTAGCATTGAAAATAAAGAGTAGGGGTGTCAATCGTGTCGGATTAATTGGTTACGTGTCGGATTAAAGGGGTGATGGGTAAAAAACATATAAAATCATACACAACACGTTTAATAAACGGGTAAAAAAATTTTAACACGAACTTTTTAATAAACGGGTAATACGACACTACTCGTTTAACCCATTTAAAATATATATATATATTATTTTAATAAAATTTTATACTCCATTTCTTTGCTTCCAACTGTACTTTATCGATTTGAGAAATTTCAATCAACAGCTCATGTGAAAATCACACCACAAAGGTTGGTTAAAATGAGAAGCCCACTACTTTTTTTATAGGCAACTAAAGTCTCCCCTCTCCACTCTTTATCGATGTGGGATTCAAATAAAAGGGCTAAAAGGCAATTCAATGCCTCAAGCCTCAAAGCTTCACTTTCCTACTACTGATGTCCTTACTTTTTTTTTTAAATGTTTTCTTTACTCATTTATTATTTTATATGTATATATATATATATATATATATATATATATATATATATATATTTATTTAAACGGGTAAACAGGTGATAAAACGAGTTAACAGATCTCACTCGAACACGACCCCCGTTTATTAAACGTGTCTGGCAGGTTAACCCGTTAAGGTCTCACCTAAATCGGTTTAATTCGTATCGGTTAATCGTGTCATGTCGAATTTTGATAGGCCCGACAAAGAGTTGTACTGCTTTTTTCAGACTTTGATTTTCGGCTCAATATGTGGTGACGCCCGAAGGTCAGTCGGTTGTAATGCATCCTTTAAGTTGTTCTCTAATGTTTGAAGATAAACTGGGCGAAATGTGCCATTCTAACACTTCCATCCGTTGACACAAAATTCTTTCAATGCTTGAATGAGAGTAGTCTCCTCCACGGCAGTCCATGTTCGGCGTGGACCACGCTCTACTTGGCTACTGCCACCAACATTAGACATGACTTACTTACATATATACATGTCACATACAATTACATAACCTACAAACACATAAATACATATGACTTGGCTAAAGTAATCACAAGAAAACATAAATAGTTCACATAAATTCGACCCATTAACTACATACAACATAATTGGTCCATTACTAAAAATGTGGTAAACCATTTAGCCACCCTTACTTTCACCTCATTCAGTGTACATATTGTTGGCTAGTTGGTTTCTAAATGCAGTCCATTTAGTAGATGTGTCAACCATGTCGATGACATCCGGCTCTATATCGCCATGACCATTGGCCGGACCATCTTTTGGCAACTTATCTTCCACTAAATTGAACGCCATTTCATTTCTAACCAAACTATGCAGCAAGCAGCATGCAGTAACGATTCAATTATGTGTGTACGAGGTAGTTGCAAGGAGTCCTTATGATTGCTCAGCGATTTTTTAGTAATGCAAAACAACGTTCTATAACATTCCTCGCCATTGAATGCCTAAGATTGAAAAGTTCCTCAGCATTATGAGGTGTACCTGACCCTTCGGGCCACTGTTGCACATGGTATCTTTGTCCCCTAAATGGAGCTAAGAACCCTTCCCCATTTGTGTACCTGACATCCACTATGTAGTAGGTGTCTACGTATAAATTGTGGTTTCATAAGAACGCTCCTAGTTACTATTAGATAAATGAGGTTAGTGGTTCCATTCCTCCTTGTTACCGCATCTTAGAGTATCCTAAAATCAGCAGCCGACCCTTCCCAACCAGGCAAGGCATAAATGAATTTCATATCTTGGGAGCACTCACCAAGGACATTTGTTGAAATGTCACCGTGTCTATTCATATATCTTGCTTGGTAAAACATTGGTACCCTTGCTCTAACGTGCATGTCATCTAGTGTTCCTATGTAATTCTACAACTCAAATATAATGAAACATATTTAATTTTATTATCATTCATCCAAATTCTATCCAAATCACAAATGAAACAATTGTAAAGTTCGTTACCTTAAACAAACGCCACTTTTTATCTATACAATCCTCAGTTACAAGATTGGGTCTCTTCAATAACAGATGATGCAACTTAAAAACAGACTTCAACATAACATCGAAATGCCTGTTTACAGTTTTGCCAAATCTAAGAAAGTAGAACTTTATTGGCCTATTCTTCACATCGTGACCTATCGTGCGATTTAAGCCACCAACTTGTTCCACCAAATTAAAAAGCACGCGAAAAGTGTGTCTATCCATCCTAAGTTGTTCTATGCAATTAATGTCACTCTCACCAATTAAACAATACAAGTGTTCAACTTCCAATTGATTTCTAGACAATGGCCTTGATGGATGTGGGTTTAATTGTCTCTCCATTTCCCACAACACTACTATAAGGACCACAAACAAATAGAATATTACTATCATTTCTCTTCTCGTCCTATCCAACACAACAATCAATCTAGCGATGTCATCAATACGGTTTGGCATTTATTTCTTGGTCGTCCTTGCATTTTTTATGTACAATAGTGACGTCAATATAACATGTAGTATTCATGTAACACAATTTAAGGTAAGCAAAAGAAACCATCAATCCTCATCCACCAATTGAAAATGACACAAGAGAGAGAGAGAGAGAGAGATAGAGATAACTTTGTTTATCATTATAATATCTATACAATACTTATTTTTACAAAATAATTTTTTTTTCCAAATGATAACAAATCGCTGCAATTTCCTTTCATTACTCTAACTAAAACGACAATGTGAGGAAAGACACTACTTTCTAGCCATTACATTTTTATAAGCTAAGTTGCATGTAACTTTTTTTTAAAAATAATGACTTCTACATGTAACTTTTTTCGGAAATAATGACTTTCACATCAGAGAATCAGATTAATGGTATTCCAACTGCTATTACTTAATCCATCTGGAAAACATTAATAATATAAATTGGTGTGTAAATTTCATTACAAATGATTAGCTTTATCTCCAGACATTACAAGAACATTGTTGATTAATGTACAATCTCAAAAATAGTCAAATAGTCTTAAACAATTAAACATGTAATTTGAGCATCACTCATAGTCAAACATCACTTAAAGTAACCAATTAAACAGTCATACACACACTGCTACCATATCCGAAGCATGCCCATAACAATAGCCTAATTTCTCTCTATCTCTGTCTCTCTCTATACAAACTAGTTGGATCCATAAGTTGTTTATGATCTTCGTTTGGATTCAAGGTAAATGTAGAAAAATATAAGAAATTTTGGATTTTTGTGAATCTTGTTATTGAAAAATTAAAAAATTTCAACGAAAAATGGCTATTCTTTTTTATCGTCCATTTCCTTGTTTTCTCAGATTCCTTCTTGCCAAACACTAGAGAAATGACAAATTTGTGTTGTTTAATATATTACATAAAGCATTTTTTGTGACTGAAGGAGAAGAATCCATCGAGATTTGTTTGTTGGAGACAAATCGAATCTGTTCGTCAGAGATCATCGGAGACAGATCCATATCTGTTTGTCAAACAGAGGGTTAAACGAAAGCAGATATGGATATATGGTGAACCAGTAAGTCGTCTTCTTCATTTTGTCCACAGAGAGAGAGAGAAAAGAGAAAGACACTGACATAGAGAGAGACCGAGAAACTTACCTCAATCCAGCGATGTCTTCAACCACACAAAGCAAAAAGTTGAGGACCTTGTCATCTTCTTCCTTGCCTTTGTGCAACAAGCCTTGGATGAGCTCAGCCTGCAATGGAACGAGCTCAACTCCTTTGCGCTCTAGTTGACAAGAGAAGAGAGAAGGCATAATGACAGGAGAAAAAGAGGAGAGACAAATATGCCTTGGGTGGGGTTATCCTCTTGCCTAGGTTTGTAACCTATAGGGGGGTTAAGTGTAGCCAGTGTGAAGGTTTGGTGAGTTTGGGGATGACTTCAGTGTCCAGGTTTGTTGGTAGGTCATCTTCTTCAACACTTTAGTGGGTCATTTTCTTCTGCGTCCAAGTCTATTGTAACGGTTTTGGTGATGAAAGTTTGCAATGGGTTGAACATTTGAAAGGGAAAAAGGTATGTGGTTGTGAGTGATCATGGCAGTTGACGGAAAAGAGGATGAGGGTGATCGTGGGTGTCTTGGCAAACCTTAGAGAGAGAGAGAGAGACAGAGAGAGAGAAAGAGAAAGAGGAGAAGAGGTGGCAGTAGGTATTAGTGGCTGTCGAAAAACAGGCGTAACGGTGGTGGTTTTGGTTGTTCATAGGAAAAAGACGAGATTTTAGAGGAAGAAAATAGGGTAGAGAGATGCGAGGGTATTTTAGTATTTTTCATTTTTCATTTTTCATTTATTTGCGTAATCTCCCAAATGGCGTGTTAATCACACTATCCATTAAATTAAATAAAAAATATAACGGTGCATTTTAATCCAACAACTCCATAGAGGTTATGTGCTATTCTTGAACCCCAGGGAGGTGATGTACAAATTGGTTAAACCACAGTGGTAATTGAAATTTGTCTTTTTTCTTTTTTTAGAAATGTTACATACTTAAACAATGGACCATATTTATCATTGATTTAACCCACTACCTATTTAATGGCAGTGATTCATCAATTCAAGTTTTTAAGTTAAATTTTTAAGTCTATTTAGCATTTTTCTTTTCTTTTTTTACTCTTCAAAAAAAAAAACATCAACACTGTGTAGTGGATTCGAGAAAAATAATTTTTTAGTACACTTGAACTTTTAAATAATTTAATATGGTCATTAAATTAATTGTAAGTTATAATATTATATGGGGCCCACTTTCAATTCAATATATTATAAGT